CTCCTGTCCTTCATCTGCCCCTCACCCCCGGGGGTGGTACGTCCGGGAATACGTATATCTCCTCTGCAGAGCCATCCCATTTCCAGGGCCGGGAGAGGGGGTGGCCGGGAACTCTGCTCTGCTAAGGGCTCTGTCCTTTCTGACGTGGGAGGCAGGAAATCCGAAGCCTCTGACACAAGGTTTGCAGTGGAGCGTGGGCTGCTGGATCTGGAGTCTGGAGCCAGCCCCCGCACCGAACTGCCGAGCATTGAGGGGGGCGTGCCCTGCGCTTCGTTCCCAGGTTTCGGGGCTGCCCCCGCACCTGAAGGCGGTCTGCGTTCACTCCAACATGTCGCAGAGCCAGCGAGAGGCTGCTATGGAAAAGGTGGGTTGCTTGGGATGGCAGGACCCTTCCCGGAGGAGCTGGCCGAAGGGAATACAGAGCACAGGGTGCCTTGGCCTGGGGGCAGGCTGCTCTGTGCAGTGCGCTGTCCGTTCATAGGCGCCGAGCTGGATCTTGTCTAAGGGATGGTGACGCTCACGCGCCTGCCAGCGAATGGGAGCCGGTGGGACATGTCCACAGATGTCGGGTGGGCTCGCCCTTGGGCGCTGCTTGTCTCCATGTGGCGAGGTTCTGATTGAAATTCACCCCGACCGTACTCCAGAGCAACGGGCGTGTGTCGCCAGCCCTGGGCCTTGCTCGCTGGGCCTGCCTCTGGCTGGTGAGGGGAACAGGGACATGCCCGCGCTCTGCAGGCACACCCGTAGGGGAGAGGGCCAGGCCGTTACGGTGCGGATTGTATTGGAGGCTTCTGGGGTGCAGGATCTGACCCGAGAGCTCCCAGCTCCTCGCACTGAGCAGCCAGTGGAGGGGGGAACCTTCTAGCCCTCCCAGCTGGGCCGGGTTGGAGTTTAAGGGAATCCCCTGAGCTCCCCCCGGAGTGTATTTCTGGGGCGGGGGCTGGGTAGGCGTACCTCTTGCGGGGGAACGCTCCTGACGCTGCATGTCCGCAGGTGGTGCAGGATCTGACCCGAGAGCTCCCAGCTCCTCGCACTGAGCAGCCAGTGGAGGGGGGAACCTTCTAGCCCTCCCAGCTGGGCCGGGTTGGAGTTTAAGGGAATCCCCTGAGCTCCCCCCGGAGTGTATTTCTGGGGCGGGGGCTGGGTAGGCGTACCTCTTGCGGGGGAACGCTCCTGACGCTGCATGTCCGCAGGTGAAGGCAGGGAAGGTGCACGTGCTGTTGCTCTCCCCGGAGGCCCTGGTGGGCGGGGGTGGGGCGGGGTCCAGCTGCCTCCCCTCTGCCGACCAGCTCCCGCCGGCGGCGTTTGCCTGCCT